TAAGTTAATAAACTTCCCTAGGCAACGAAATTATGTTTTGGCTTGGAAAAAAGTAAAGATCTTAGATAAAAAGTTCTTCTACATCATTCAGACCTTGCACTTATTTACTCCTTCTGTCGTCCATACGAGTTGTTAGACATTCTATATTGTACTTGAGCATCAAGCACTTCAAAAGCTAAAGACGGCTAATGCTTCGTTTTTCGTCTGAAAATATTTAAGTTTATTATTTTTAAGCCTATTCATTACAGAGATGTCCATGGCGGCGCTGCCGCCGTGGCGACCGCCACGGCGGCAGCGGTAGCGGCAGATTTTTTGCGAAATCATCGCGGCAGCGGCAGCGGCGCGGTAGATTTTTAAAAGTATGGCAGCGGCAGCGGCAATTTATCTACTTTGGCTGTCGCGGCGCGGCGCGGCAGCGGTGAAAATTTTCGAAAAATTTCTCCAATTTTTTTCGAATAAATTTTAAGGCTTGAAATTATAATTCTGTCGTGATTCAGATTAGTGAGAACTTTTTTCTCGATCAACAGACTTTTAAGCTATTCCATCGACTAACAGAAAGAGAAATATTATTATTGTGTAAATAAATGATGATGCTATTTGAAAACATGTTAATAGCAATTATAGAATATGTATGCTGCTCTGTTTTAATTGACGTACGTTTTTATCATTGTCAATCTCGTTTCATAGGCACAATAAAACAATATATGTTAAAAAAGTCGATATGCGTTTTTTTAATAATGAGCGATGCAAAAGTCTTTGCTCAAATATCAAATCCTGTTAGACCATATTACCAACTTCTGAATTAATCAATTTTCCTTGTTAGAAAGAACAAAGTCTGAACTACAAATTTTTTATCAGAAATTTTTTTCCAGAACGAATCTGAGACGGAGGAAAAGCCAAAAAGCAAACACCTCTAAAAAAGTTCTTGCAACTTCACCATCGAGCAACATCATTTTCTATTTCTGTTAGTTTCTTTTTATATTAGAAGAGGAGTGAGAAAAAACGTTCAATGATGTTTTTGTAGTAAAAATAGTGCTCTTTCTAATGATGTATTGGAAGTTAAATCTATTCCTAGTTTTTGTATCAACAAATAGCTTTTTCTGAAAGAGACTGAGTCATTTGGTCGTTCTCACTACTTGATCGTTTTACATCGATAAAAAATATTTTTTGAATATATTTTTTTCTGCTAAAATTCTACGATTAGATATATTTCGACCAAATAACGCGAAAAGAATTCAGTTCATGCATGATTTCTGGAGATGATGGCTGATATTTTTGTAAACTGATAGTTCTTGAAAAGGCTCAATTTTGCAAAAATTTCGTGTTTCAAACTTGTTTGATTAAAGAGTCAAGAATGGATCCCAAAATGTGTCTCAAAGCTGATATTATAGAGTTTTTAATGTGCTACATTCTAATGTATGTTTTCTTCAAATTTGACCTATGCAGCTTAAAATAATTGAGAAATACAGACTTTTCAAGTTGCAAAAGGCGTCGCAAGAACTTTTTTAGAGGTATTTGCTTTTTGGCTTTTCCTCCGTCTCAGATTCGTTCTGGAAAAATATGTCTGATACAAAACTTGTAGCCCAGACTTTGCTCTTTCTAACAAAAAAAAATGATTGATTCAGAAGTTAGTAATATGGTCTAACAGGATTTGAGATTTGTGTAAAAACTTTTGCATCGCTCATTACTTAACATCTTTGAATAATATAATAAATTTGTTTTTATACTTTTGTAGTTTTCCTCATGATGAATATTTATTAAGTGGATTCTGATCGATTTTTGAAGAGTCAGACAATTTTATTACACACTCTATTAATATTCTTTAGAAATCTATAAGATCCATAGAGTCTATCGGGATCTGTTTTTCACCCTTGCATTTGGTGCAGTAATTCATGAACTTTATAATACATATTTTTTTTATTTTAGAGACGAACACATTTTCTAGACTGTATTTTTTGTACTGTCGCGGCAGTGGTGCGGCGGCGGCGCGGCAGCGGCAGATTTTTTTTCCAGTACGCCGCGGCGCGTTACATTTCAATGTGGACGCGGCGCGGCAGCGGTGCGGTAGCTTTCGTGTTTCTGACAAACGCGGCGCGGTAGCGGCGCGGCACCATGTTTTTTAAACGACGGCGGTGCGGCAGCGGCTAACTCTCAGCCGCGATGGACATCTCTGATTCATTAGCAACTCGTGATGACATTCTAGTGATTTATTTTGCTCCGTCTTTCTCGCCAACTTTTAAAGTCATACTCGAACCCTATAGAAAGACGGCTAAAAGGCAGAAAAAAAAGAGAATTTAACTAATGTGTCAAAGAAAGCAATAGATTTGCCTTGTATTCAATTTTTCAAGCTCGTTCCGATGATTTAATTTTTATTGTGTCTACATGACATAAAAGGTATCGAAGACTTTGATGAGAATTCAAACAAATTTATTACGAGGCAATTTTAATCCTCTATGCATTTGGATAAAAGCAATCAGATGTGACGAAAGAGAATTCGCATAGCACATGTTTGTTGCATTAATTAGATGAGCACATAGACATTTGAGCGAGAGTTTTTGAGTGTTTCGTAAAAGTTGTTTGATTTCGAGTGTGTGTGCTCGATCTTCCGGTCGACAACCTTCAAAATCGATACAATCAATGTGAGCGTTGGCATTAAGGAGAAGTTCGATGACAGATCTTGCAACATCAACATTGTCAGAGTCAGCGATTTGATGCAATGATGTAAATTTAGTATACGATTCAACTTCGTCTACATTCGCTCCAGCATCAAGCAACAGACGAATAACTGACAGAGTTGGAACGCTAAAACAGACAGAATTCTGTTTACAAAGAAAGAGTTTGTTCGAACTTAACATCAGCATGTGATTGATACATAGGAACGTTTCACAAATTTTTCTTCCAGCATTTATAGAGTAAATCATCTACTACGACGATTTTTTCAGTCAGGTAAACCTTGTCGTAATATTGAGACTTTTTTTCGTTTTGAAACTACACGAGAGACTCAATACGTGAGAGAAAACATACCTTTTCGAGGCGACCGTGTAAGAACTTCGACTGTATTTGATGTCATAGATGCAACCTTGGAGAGAAGAACGACCATGCCATGCGGTGACGTTTTGACGTAAAACTCGTCGTATAAGACCATAAAACATGCGTAGTTCGTCGTCATTTACTTTTTTCGATTCGATAAGCTAGAACATACAGAAAAAACAGTTATTTCGGTGCTCATCAATAGTCTAATTGCCTTTATTCTATTTAACTAGATGGAAACAATGTGACACTTATTATGACAAAATAAAAATCTTCATTGAGATAGTTGCAGAGATGTCATAATATCCATAAGCTGGGTAACGACAAGCTACACGTCAAGATATCTAAGGAAATGGATACCCACAATTTTTAGTGCTTACTCTAAAACTTGAGGAAGTTGAGTGCTTTTGGTGTAATGAGATGGATACCCAAAATTTTTAGTATACACCCTCAAAACTTGAGGAATTTGAGTGCTTTTGGTGTAACGAGATGGATATCCAAAAGGGTGTGGGGTGTGGGTGGGTGTGTGGGGTGTGGGTGTGAGGTGTGGGTGCGGGTGGGTGTGGGTCGGGTGTCGGTGTGGGTGTGAGTGGGTGTGGGTGTAGGTGTGGGTGGGTGTGGGTGTGGGTGTGCATGGGTGTGTGGGTGTGGGTGTGGGTGCTAATCTTCCATATATCCAAACCTACACCCACACCCATATCCATGTCGTTACACCAAAAGCACTCGAACTCCTCAAGTTTTATGGGCATGCACTGAGAATTTAGAATATCGATGTCGTTACACCAAAAGCACTCAAATTCCTCAAGTTTTAGGGGTATGCAATAACAATTTTGGGTCTCCATCTCGTTACACCAAAAGCTCTCAAATTCCTCAAGTTTTATGGATATGCACTACAAATTTTGGATACCCATCTCGTTACACCAAAAGCACTCAAATTCCTCAAGTTTTAGGAATATGCACTAAAAGTTTTGGGTATCCATCTCGTTACATCAAAAGCACTCAAAATTCTCAAGTTTTAGGGGTATGCAACAACAATTTTGATTATTCATCTCGTTACACCAAAAGCACTCAAATTCCTCAAGTTTTAGGGATATGCACTAAAAGTTGTGAGTATCCATCTCGTTACATCAAAAGCACTTAAAATTCTCAAGTTTTATGGATATGCACTATAAGTTTTGGGTATCCATCTCATTGCACCAAAAGCAATCAAAATTTTCAAGTTTTAGGGGTATGCAATAACAATTTCAGATATCCATCTCGTTACACCAAAAGCACTCAAATTCCTCAAGTTTTAGGGATATGCACTAAAAATTTTGATTATTCATCTCGTTACACCAAAAGCACTCAAATTTCTCAAGTTGTAGGGATATGCACTGAAAATTTTGATTATTCATCTCGTTACACCACAATCACTCAAAATTCTCAATTTTTTAAGAATATATCAATATTTTAAAATGTCGATACCCGAGTTCCGGATATTATGACATCCCTCGATAGTTGCTATATATTTATTGATACAATAAAATGAAATATTCTACATTGCAGAACAATACATTCAACATTTGAATTAAAGGAGTGGCTGATGTGAGCTTGGCGAACATTGAAAATATTAACTCAATGATATTTTCTCCACGCTTACACATTAATTTGAATTCTTTTCCTAATATCAAAACATAATTGAAGTTAAACTTCTACTGAAGCCTTCGTAATCTAGCGTTTGATGCCAGCTCGATATTATCTAATAATTGTGTCTATGGTTGTTTCTTAGTACTTGTTCAATTAAGAAAACACTTACATAAGTTGCGATAATTATGAGATCGAACACTTTATAGCCTAGTTGTGTATCTGCTCTGTTGAGTATCCATGTCCAAACAAGTTTCATGGACTTCATAGGTACCGTGTCTTCTTGACGCAATATTTTCAATAAAATCTGTACGAGCTCAGAAAGATAATTTCTATGCCATTTAGGATCATCCCAATCCTTGTGTTTCATTTGGCTTGCCAATTGATAAGCATGTAATCGCAATTGGAGACAACGATGTAAGAGACCATGGTGTCTATAGAAATAACTTTGTTTGATAATTAGTCGAAGATGAAAATTAATATCGCCACTTGTAAGTGAAATTCGTTCACTGACAAGCAGTGCATGCATTCTCATTGCGTTATCATTGTGCCGTATGGCGGCAAGTTCATTGAGTGTCCGACATTCACTAAGAAATTCGTATACTTCACAGTCCACATTTGTGCACAAGAGTGTGGTCATACTCAGAAATTTTTCGAAATAGCAATAGGCTTGGTCGCGTCGACTCACATAACCATCGATTGTATATTTACAGGCGAGTAGTGTCAACTCTTCTAGAGCTTGTTGACGAGGTAATATATCTAAAAGTATTTTTACTATGGGTGTTTTATTAAAGTTAGCAGCTGCCATTAGTGGTGTGAAACCAAATTGATTTTTGTCAAAATTTCCACCTTGATGATAGATGAGTGCTTTGGCAATCTCGATGTGCCTTTTATGTATGGCATATTCAAGAGCAGTTCTTTTTTTGTAATCGAGTATATTTGGATCAGCACCATGTTTAAGAAGTAAATTGACTATAGCGAGATGATTACGACGAGAAGCTGCATGTAAAGATGTCTCATTGTAGTTTTTGGCACGTCGATTTGGATCACATCCTTTACTTAAAAGATACTCAACTATGTTTGTGTGACCATTTTGAGCAGCAACTATCAAAACTCCACACTTTGCAATATGTGCATGACCATATTCAATGAGCTGCCGCACAAGATCAAGATCTCCTTTTCTACATGCATACCAAAGCGCTGTTCTGCCGGTTGAACAAACGTGATCCACAATCGTTGGATAAATAGTACCATTAAAGATATTCTCTAACACTACTTGAATACATTCGGCATGGTCATTTTCAATTACGCGAGTAAGCATTGTATGTTGATGCCGTGTTTTAGTCAATTGACCTTCATTTGGTCGATGTTTTATTTGAGCGTAAGGGACATATATATGTGTTAAAATGGCATCAAGATAATTAGCATCACTATCATTCATAGCGTCTTCTATCAAATGTTTTATCTGTTTCTTAGTATTGGGACAACGGTCGATGCGGCGATTTCTATACTTATTACTTTGTTTACATCCATTCCTTTTCCAAGGATGATGAGTTTTGATCAATTCTTGCTTTTTCCATGTTCGTTTTGGCACTTGTTTTTGGTTGCTATAACCTTAAAAAGTCCAAACAAAAATAAATCAATCATGAATTTTACAGTTTGAATTGTGGTTCTTTCCAAAGTAGCAGATGAGAAAGAAAAACTGGTGTGAATGATGAACTTTGACCTAACATACGTGATGATGAATATAGTGGGTTGAGTTTTCTAAATTCTTTTTTTTGAATAGAACACCTGTGATGTTGGTGAAGTTGAGCATGTTTACGTTCATCGGACGTTTCTAAAAAACTTGTATTCTTGAACAGTAATTCGTTTTGCATACTTGTTACCATTATGAAAAATGTGTGCTATTGAAGTTGCAGTAGTGAGTTTTATTTTGAATTATCGGCGAAAGAAGAGTGATGTAATTGGAAATATTCAGAGACGATTATGCAAACTATATGTGTTGTATATTAGAAATTTTCCCTGTCATTGCAACACTCAGTGATTTACTGAACCAAACTGATGCATGCACAAAACGGATGAATATATATGTTGTGCGTATGAAATGAGTTATATGTGATGCAATACCTGAGAGGACGAAAATTAATAGACAAAGATGAAAACCAACCAGTATGCACACATTAAAATAAAGTGTGTCGCTGGTGTCATAGTAGTTTGAAACACAATACGTGACACATTCAAATGAGACACGTGGTGCTCGTTGCGACACATTTTGAAAATGTGGTTCGAATCTAGTATTTAGACCGCTTCAAGACAGTCTTCTCTCGACCATCGATCGATCTTTTCGCATGTTCTCAACTAATAAATAATCGGAAAATGATCGAAGACTTAATACTACTGTCATGCATAAGGAATGAATACTTATGTTCAGAGTCGAATAAATAATTTTTAAATTATTAAACTCAAAGAATCGATTTTTAATGATGTCTTTCATCAGAGAAATTTAAAATATTTTTGCATTCAATAAGTATCTTTTATGATACTTCAAATTATTGCACGATTTTGCTATTGAAAACGAAATACAACAAAACGACAAAAATTTTGTGATAACAATCTTTTTTTCTGTAACATAAGTGAAGAGGAGCATAACTTATCGTCACTGTTGGTTTCTTTATGTTTGCAAACCGTCATCTCTTTGAGATATGATTCAATAAAAAATCAATATTTGCGAATAACAATGGAGACTAAAATAAACCTAAACAGTATTGCATTCAAAGTTATCGTTTTGTCTAGACGCTGTTTATAAAAGTTTCCTAATATATTTGCGCACAAGGAATGGAATGTGTAATTAGGCATGCAAAGCAAGTCCTTGTTTTTCAAAGGTTAAAGTAACTTGTGCAATAAATATAATTAGTAAAGTCATCGGATCCAATTCATTTCAGATTTCAATTAGATACATAGCTAATTTTCGTCCGATAGAAACCATGTCAGTCACTCATGATGCAAGACACGTATGCAGAAAGAGGATGTGAGTGATGATACGTTGAACTTGATTCTCAAGTAAAGATGTTAGACAATTCTGAATAATAATTGGAGTTGCAATTCATTTATACGATAAGGTATCCACAATCTACAGTCAAAAACTTCTCGGAATATAATATTGTTGATAGCCAGCAGTGCACTTCTATAATATAGTTGTTGATCAAAACGCCATCTATTAGAAAAAGTAAATAAGACTGTATAACAAATAATTCTGTTGAGGCTTTGAAGTATATGCACATTGTAATCATTCAATATGGATTCAAGGCTCATCGAGTGGACAAGGTGATTTGAAATCTTCTCCTTCTTGGAAAGGATTCTTTTTTGTATTCTTTCCTATGTATTTCTTTATTTTATTGTAAATTGAAACATCGGATTATTTATTGTTTTGTCGAACGATTCTGCGATTCATTTTCTATAGTTCTGCTTGTCTTCTGAACCAACAAAGGGTTAGGTGTGATGGATGTTGGTGGAGTATGTGTCAGAAATTAGTATTGTTTAAGAGAAGGAACGCCCACACCCACATGCACCCAAAATTCCATGGTCGATCAATATTGGCTAATAAACATGGATGTTCATATTCGATAATACATTGGACTGAAAATGCTTGATTACTCTTTTAATAAATCTGCATACATTTTTTTGCAATTTCTTCAAGGGGGAAAAGTGAACTTGAAGTACGCCAAAGTGCGGTAAAATTACTTCAAAAGTACTTTTAAAGCACGACAGAATACTTTGAAATTACAGAAAAGTACTTTAAAGTAGCACGAAGTACTCTGAAGTAGCCTAAATTAACTTCAAGTATATAGTTCGCTTTTTCTCCTTGAATTTCTTCCAAATATCATCATTAATTTATTGATTATTATGCCACTGAAATTCCTATTTAATCAAACGAAATCTTGTTCATCTGATGCATCATTACAATCCCACTCACCTATCAATATGATTTATATAGAATTGATAATGACCAATTTGCATAATACCCCAACGTCCTTTTTATATCATTTTAATCATATTTAATAAATTTGATTTTTTACTATGAATAGTAATAATACACATATGAACATAATGATATGTTATTATTTGAAGTCTACATCGAAATACGCATGAGAGTTGTCAAAGATTTCTTTTTAACATTGCATGTCAAGTTTCTTCCTGAACTTCAGTTATTATTGGAAGTTGAAAACAATCTAATATATCATCAATAAAAATTTTATCAACAAGTGTTAAATATTCATATTAAAAAATTATAAAAATCAGGATACTACACAACAAAATTGATAAGTAAGACTTGTAGTACCATTAACAAAACGATTTTAAGACAAAATTTGATAACTCTTATTCCAGTACGACATACAGCTCATTCATAATAATCGTCAACTTTATACTGTACGATAGCTGGTTAAAAAGGTTATGTTTGATAGATGGATGGATTTAGTCCATTTTCGCCGAAAAGAAAATTTTACCGAAGGAAATTCTCCGAAAAAAAAGTTCGCCGATTATATTTTCGTCGAAATAATTTGGTCATCGAAAACAAATATAAGTTGAGTTTGATCATGTATACAACAATTCTATTGAAGCAATTAATCGATCACATCAAGTCAGTTAAGTCCCACTTGAGATGGCTTCCATGTCGGTTAAATTGACTACCAAGTCAGTTGGTAACCATCTGAGTTGGTAGCCAACGGAGTTACTTATCATACTAATAAAATTTGTTCATTGGTTAAATAGATACCACCAGCAGAATATTTATTCGTCCTAATTTGTACGCAAAAAAGACTTGTGGCGTCAGTATAATCTTTATACTCTGGTAGAGATTAACAGTTGAGAATTCATTAGATTAGTTTGAGAAAACAAAGAATGGTGGAAAGAGTGTGGGTGTGTAGGTGTGAGTGTGTAGGTGTGGGTGTGGGTATGGATGTGTGGGTGTGGGTGTGGGTGTGGGTGTGGGTGTGGGTGTGGGTGTGAGACATCTCTTAGCCAACACCCACTAACACTCATATGCACACCCATCCACATCCACACTCCACACCCACCCACACTCCACACCCATACCACACCCGCCCACACTCCACACCCACACCCACACCCATATCACACCCACCCACACTCCACACCCACACCCATACCACACCCACCCACACTCCACACCCACACCCATACCACACCCACCCACACTCCACACCCACACCCATACCACACCCACCCTCACTCCACACCCACACCCATACCACACCCACCCTCACTCCACACCCACACCCATACCACACCCACCCCATCTGAGTTGGTTATCAAGTAAGATGGTTACCAACTCAGTTGGCTACCAACTCAGATGGCTATCAAGTCAGTTGGCTACCAAGTCAGATGATTACCAACTCAGATGACTACCAACCCAGATGGTTACCATCTGACTTGGTAGTCAATTTAACCGACATGGAAGCCATCTCAAGTGGGACTTAACTGACTTGATGTGATCGATTAATTTCCTCAATAGAATTGTTGTATACATGATTAAACTCAACTTATATTTGTTTTCAGTGACCAAATTCTTTCGGCGAAAATAGAATCGGCGAACTTTTTTTTCGGTGAACTTCATTTTCGGCGAATTTCTTTTTGGCGAAATTCGTCTTCGGCGAAAATGGAATTTATCAGATGGGTGTAGGTTTGGGTTACAAGAAGACTAACACTCACACCCACACCCGTCCTAACGCAAAGAGCTACCGTTATTTACCGTAATTGCTTGGTATATGATCGTGTACGACCGAGCATGATTGACCTGGGGTTGGTTTTTTCCAAGTGATAAAGACATGTGTGCCTCTTTACTTGTTTTTTTCTCGTGCTTTCTCTTTTTATTTTACTTTATATAATGTTTTTTTTTTCACTTTTTTAATCAAAGCGAGAGCGATTTGTTCCTTCAAGATACTGTGACGCATTAAAGTAAAATGTTTTCTGACTTCGGCACTAATTGCGAGCAGACGCAGCAACACGACAGCTTGGTTATGAAATCTTGTTCTGGCTTCTCTGTCCTTAGTTTTCGATCACAATCTTCGCTGCATTTAACACGGGAATCAGCTACATTTATCTGGTATCAACTGTTACTACGCTTATTAAAAGACGTACAATCTGATCTTTATACAGGGAACAGTACTAATAATTCCTTCGACATATTCAACAAGATTAGAAAGTATGTTGTTAAGGATGATGACAGTTGCGCACTGGATGAATTTCAGAAAAAGTACAGTCCAACGAATGCTGTCTATTGGTATACAAGAAATACATTTATCTATCGTCTTCTTAATAAAGCAATAAAAACACGTAATATTGATATTCTATATACTTTAAACTCACTTATTGTCGATCTACAAACCCAACTTGAACAGTTATCTACTGCTGCTCCGAACAAGTTGACATCATCCACATTTACACTATATCGAGGCGCTCGAATACGTTCAGATGAGCTAGAACAATTAAAAGTAAATATTGGTAGTTTTATTTCGTTAAATAGATTTACATCAACTTCGCGAGAGCGAGATATTGCTTTGACCTACGCTGAAGCCTATTCATCCACTGACAACGATAGTGATGTTTATCCAATAATATATGAAATCAACTGTAGTGTTGGAATACACTCTGCCGTCTTTGCTGATGTCGAACAATATGGTACAAATCTAAACGAAAAGGAAGTTTTATTTGGTTTTTCAACTGTATTTGAAATTACAAGTGTTGAATTGAAGGACGATATTTGGACCGTTAAGCTATGTAATACAAATAAGCATACTCAGCTGGTTGACAATTATCTCGATGTAGCGAAACACGAAATGAAAGAAAGCTCCTCAGAACTACTCTTTGGACGTCTCCTATTTTACTTAGGTGAATATAAAACAGCTGGTACATACGTGAAAGAAATCGCACCAATTCTACTTGGGAAAGATAAATATGAAAGTTTGGCACGATTTTGTTTTGACATTGGACGTCGATATTACTTAAATGGTGAAATCGATTTTGCTCTGGATACGTATTATTCAACCTTGAAATATTCAACAAATCATACACTTGTTGCATGTACACTATTTACAATTGCTAATGTATATTTTGAACGAAATGATTATGAGCGAGCACTTGATTATTATCAAAAAATAGTTGAAAGTGAAAAGGCGTTGTATGACTGTGATAGCTTACCATCAGCAGTTTATACTACAATGGGTATAATTTATCAAAGTATGGAAGAGTACGAAAAAGCACTGTATTGTTATAGGAAAGCAATGGAAATAGACACGAAACACGACTCTGTAAGTCTAGCAAATTCGATGGACAATATAGCTTCAGTCTGTGAACAGATGAATAACTATGATACTGCACTAGCTTATTATATGGACGCGCAGAAAATACGACTGAAAGTTGTATCACCAAATCATATGTCTATTGCAACAAGTTTTCTTAATCTGGCAACTCTTTATACATTAATTGGAGAAAAGAAACTGGCCTTGGAGTGTTATCTGAACGCATTATATATTCAAAAGTTGAATTTACAAGAAAATCATCCAGAAGTGAATGAAACAATAGCGAAGATTCGTCGTCTAGGATTTAGTGAAGGTAAGATAGATTTACAGAGGGTGCTCCAAAAGTCACACTACACTCCAAAGCCTTGGATTTCTCTGTCATGTTTTGACTAAATCGGATGATTGTTTTACTACTGATAAAGGAGTTTTCACAGTTCATACTCATGAGAAAAAAATTGAAAAATAATGGTTTGAAATATTAATGCTGGCTCAATAAAGAACTATTGCCTTTTATCAGTTAATGAGGGAATCGCCCGAAGTGATTAATCGCTTTTGAGCTCATATTTTGGATATATAGAGGGGACCTCTAGATTACCATAAATCTAGAAGGATTTGTACCGTTAGCCTTTCTGTCCTAAGATATTGAATTTTTAAGTTACAGAAAGCAGCAATTTTGATCTATACTACCAATATCTCGTAAATGAAAGTATAATTAGAGCTGAACATTTCATGATAAACTATATCACATCGTCGACAAATTATTCTAAAATTTTCAGATTTTTATCTCATCTCTATGATTCAAAGTAATTTTTCTCATAAATCTCCGGAAGACTCCGACTCTGGCAATTGTAGGGTGTGGGTGTAGTACCTCATCGACAACCACACTCAATCCACATCCACACATCCACCCACATCCTCACACACACATTGCCACAGCCACATTCCACATGCACACCGCACCCACTCATAATCACACCCTATTTCGCAGAAGAAAATGAGAACTGGCTATTCGACATCTTCGGCTACTCTTCTCACCTGTATTATTCCCGTAATTTCTAGGAATAAAACAAGTAAACGCTGCATTGAATGATATGAAAACTCTTGTCCTTGCCTATTTAACAAGAGAAACTTCTAATTGTGTTACACAAGAGGAAACAAAGTTTTTTCAAAATACACTCTTGTACATGGATTTTATTCGTTCTTCGAAAGAAAAGCAATATTCTATAATGTGTGTTATATCGCATACTCTAATCTCTGTCGAATTACTACGTGAACTAGACAGCTTGGAACACGTACACTCCGTAATCGACTATAATCCTTCGTCAAGTGTCTCTTACTCAAATTATTCAAAAATTAAAAATGTGGTCACAACATCGGATCAACTACAATTCCAGTTAAGTCATAATTTGGCTATATATTATCGGCAGGAAGGTGACAGAGCAATTGAGGGTGGTGAATTTGATTTGGCTGAAAAACATTATCTAAAATCACAAAGTTACATCAAAAGTTTATTTAGCAGTGTGCCGATAGAAGAAGATACGTGAGCTCACTTCTTGCAAGAGATTTTTCCCGTTTAGACGATAAATGGCTCTTTTGCTTTAAAGATTCTCTCATTTAATACATAAATAAACGTAAGATTCTTCTTTGTTTCTGATATTTTCTTTCTCGAGTCAAATAGACCTCGAAAAGCATGAAATATTGCTCTCACCTAACAAAAATTTACTATCTTTCTTTTTCAGATTGCACAGATTTGTATTATTTAGACCAGATTCCCCATTAGTCCGTAGTTAAAACATCATTGGCAGCTACTGTCTCTTCTTGCTTGAAGTAAGTCAACATGTTTGTGATACTTTCAACTTTTCCTGTGAACTTTGCTTGATTTCATTAGAACATGACTAGCGAAGCGCTCGAACAACCCTTGACAATTGTTTTAGAACCTGAATGTAGTTCGCCTGTTACTTCCTGTGCTCCGGCTGTCTATGAGTGCCACTGTGGAGTATACATAAAGGTTGTCCGCTCTTTTATAAGGGCTAAGAGAACCAGGTGACAAGGAGAATCCACGAAGTCACAGCAAGACAATGACACATTCAGAAATAACGAATTTTAGGGAACGGTCTTTACGAATGCTCATTTATGACGTTGACGAATGTTTGAAACGCATATATTCAAAACGCGATTCTCAAATTACATTTATTCCAATTTTGACTTCCTTCGACATTGTACAATTTCAAAAGATTGTCAAAAATATCCACGATTTAACTCAAATAACTGCCTTTCATATATTGTGCAATGATACTCAGGCTGTTGATCGATGGGCAGATGATAACTACCCGAAAGTAAAATCGGTTACAAAAATTGAAACGAATAAAGACTTACAAATACAAGAATTGATTGCACAAAACTGTGATCGTCAGCTCGATTATCATGATAAAATGAGACGAATTTATTCTGCCAATGGTGTTACTCCCTTAATTGCAGTACATGCAAGAGAAGAACGACAGTGTGTTGAGGTCAAGTTAGATGACTTAAGTCAACGCCTGTCATATGCTCAAAAATGCAAATTAGAACATCAAGTTGCGGTAGAGAAGTGTGCTAGAATGGAACAAAATTTAGAACGACAAATGAAAGATTTAATTAGACGACGAGAAGCACTTCAACAAGAAGAAGAAGATATATTAGAGGGTTGCTCTTCAGTACAATCAACAAACTAGTTCAACGGTTCTAAAGGGCACGTGTAAGTAGTGTGTTCCTGTCTCATACTATGTTTCTCAGTTGAATCACTCTTGTGAAGCCTTCTTGCCATTGGGCGAAGAGTACTAACGGGAAACATCAGACATTTTTAAGTTGTTGAATTCTTTTTTCTTGTTTGTTATAGGACAACACAAAATATTATTGCACCAAAACCCGGTACCAAATAGACAGTCGTAAGTGAAACATATTTTGTTTCATTCTTTATTCTGTTTTTGTTTAAACGTGATTGTTTTTTCAGTTTTCTCACTCACATTTGTTTTCTTCCATAACCATTTTTCTTTCGCTTTGGATGTCTTTTCTTTGTGGTCTATGAATGCTGGAGAATAAAGCGTTTATCGTCTTAACAAAGAGTGTGGGTGTAGATGCGAGTGTGATGTGAGTGTGGGCATCTCTCCAAGCACACCTACACCCCACATCCTCATATACTTGCATATCTTTTACTACTGCATGATAAAGTACAAACGTCTAATATTTGAGCAGTTTCGTACATCTTCGATTGACGGTTTGAATGCGCAGCTGACAATTGAAAATTTACTGCGAACAATCCACACGCATACATTTATTTTCAAAGAGTCAGTTAGAAAGCTGAGAAAAACCGAACAGAATGCCCTGTACTATAAAATGTTATGCATCTTCACCTTCTCTTTCCAACGGCAAAACCACAGTTCTCTATCTTGGTTTTTTTATTCAAAAGTTATTTAGGAAATATTCACCCGTTGTATTCACGTTAGTGTCATCGTTACATATCATAACAAACACTTCTTTGTGGAAATTTTATTAGTATGACATTAGTCCAAGCATGATGAAATATCACAGAAAAATAGAGCATTGTTTCTACTATCCGTACATATAGAAACAAAGCTTCCTCAAGCTCTCTATACGGAATTAAGCTATCTCCACCACTACTTTTGATATGGTCTAAGATAAAGATCATTTTTTTTATTGAATCTAATTTTGATGATATCTATAGGGGAACCTAATTGCAAGCTTTTAATTAGTCTCCTATTGTAAACTGCTGTATAAATTTCATTGAAATTTGATCTAGCAACTAATCATTAATAAATATAAACTTTTTTTTGAAAATCACAGCACAGATAAGGCAAGGAATGGCTTTCATAGACTGAAGATAAAGAAAAGAAAGAAAATTTTTTTTTCTCGGGTCATTCCTGGTCTTTGTCGATTTTCATTGAATAATAAATGCGGAAACTTCGGATTTAAATCCGAGAGTTATGTGTACTTCAAAAAGTGAATCATACGAATCAGTCATCCTAGAATGTCTGAACATCAAAATTATAGTGGGGAACTACCGTTTAAAATGTTGATTTCTATTGCGCGTTGCCAAACCAATAGGACTTAGGACCGAATACAGCTCAAGTTTGAACTCTTTCCCTTGATTTACCCTAAGAAAGTCGTTTTTTCTTTAACTTCATTTCTATTGGTCACTGCACAACCAATAGTATTTCGATGGAAGTGCAGTACACATTCGAGTTCTCCATCTCTGAAAACCTCGAAGTATCATCACTGTGATTGGAAGATAGAGCTCGAATTGTGGATCAATTAGATCGTGGACAAAAATATAACCTAGTTCTCTTTAATTATCTTTGTGATAGGTGAGTCAGCCTTCTTGTTTCTTTATGTTTTATATACCATTTTGTAGCTCTTGAAATTCTCTATCGAATGGTATATAATAGTTGGGGTTTTAGTTGACCAGAATAGGAAAAGTTGTTTACGAAAGCGGGGATGGCTCAATCTTTCCATAGGAAATGTATAGGGAAAAATGAGTATTTTTGCAATAACTCAGGAATGGCTGGGCCAATCCTTCTCATCTTCGAACTAGACCGAGATATTGTTAAGACTGAACTGTGTAGAAAATCTCATCGCGATCTGACTCTCCTTTCAAAAGTTATCGAATAAACGGACGGACGGACGGACGGCCGGACACACTGACCGGTTTTAGTAGTGTACTCACTTTTTGAGTACACAAAAAAGGATACACATTAATGCTTCTCAAGCCACTATCGGCATTCTATTTTGTTTCGCATTCATCTTCGAGATACGTTTGGTATTTCTTTGTTCGTCTAGTCTAGATTGCAAATACAACTAGAACTCTTATTAAAAGTTATACGACTCAACAAACAATCAGAGAATAATTGAAACAAGGATTACACGGCCAACGTTTATCGTACTGTCTATTCAATGAAAATACACTACAATCATTGATTAGTCGAGCTCATGCCATACAATGGTATGATATATTTGTCGCTGTCATTAGTCGACTTTATCAAAGAACGTATTTGTTAAATATGGAGAGGAATATCTTTGCTGTTGGAAAATGAGAAATGGATTTTTTTATCATTTTCGCTGGAGACAATTATAACTAATAACAGAGAATCGTTACCTTGCTCATAGTCAATATATTTATTTATTTTACTCATCTGTTTCGATAGGTTACTATTCGAAATTTCATAATTAGCTATTAATTATTATTACCTTATAGCTATCCTGAACTTATTCTTATTTTTGTCAAATTTATATTTACATATATTTGCTTAATATAATAGGACTTGATTTGGTCTCTTTAATTACATAGTTCATGTAATATATACCAAATATTTTTACTTAACAACAGGTTATGTTATCTAAATGTTAGTATCTTCTTTTTGTTTTCTATTCTTGCCAGATATATACTGTACTAAGTTAGTGAATATTTCGTATAATCATGTCGATTTGTTAAACACGATTTCCTTGCCTTTGTATGAAAATAATAGATAAATAATGTTGAAGAAAGTTAGGCCTGTTTGAAGTTGTAAGTACTACCATGGATTTTTTGATTGTTAACCTTTAGATAAAAGCTATGATAATAAAATAATATGTCATTGCCGAGTCGGGTAATAGATCAAGAAATTTAAACCAGGCAACACGTGGATCTGATAATGAATTAATCGACTGCTTTGTTTCAAAAAAAGAGATTGAGTACATTTACTTGTATAAGTTGTCAATTGACTCTACTATGTTCAATACTGATGAGCATAGTTAATTTCTTCAGTGATGTGTCTACCCTAAATGTTGTTGGTAGAAAAAAAGTTAGCGAAATTTAATTGTACTAAACATAAAGCATCCTATATATTAATGAGTACAAGTTTGAAAACAACGGAGATATTGTAGCATAAATACCAAGATATCGATCTTTAATATATGGATTGGTAAATGATAAGCACCAGAAAGTTAAGCCAACAAGAAAATGACGGCAGAGAGTGCCCATGAGCATGGGAATGAAGAGAAGAAAAACATCTGTATCTATACCCCCCATCATTAAACCGTTTTATAACGTAAAGTACTGATAAAATAAATACATTCTGATTGAATTATTATTATTCTAGCAGCCAAAAAAGTGCCATATTCTGTTTTTGATTATTTATCTCATCAGTGAAGTTCACAAATAAACTTATACTGTTAGAGACTAGCTTTATATTATCTTAGCAAAAGAAATTTCTTTAATTGTACTTGTTTGTGCACAGATACAAAGATATCAAAAGAATGAGAAAAAAAATGATAAGCTATACCGGGTGTCCCAAAATGTTTGTAACATGCTATATTTTGCATCTATCTCATCATGAATAAGGGATAGAAGCTTAGTCCTTTTTTCAAAAGATGCACTGTGAAAAGCTCTACAAAAAAAATGTCGAAACAAATCTCTACTCTCATGTTCTGATGATTTTTCCTATAGTCAGCATGAGACACCTACAGATTCATGTTAGTTTCTAACGTATTTAAAATAAGAAAAATGTTTGGAAGATCTTTTCTATTTCGCAGTAGAAATTCACTCACACAGATTTTGTAAAGCTTTTCACGGTGCATCTTTGGAAAAAAAAACAAGCTTTTTATCCTTTATTCATGATGAGATATACGCAAAATACAGCATGTTGCAAATATTTTGGGACACCCGGTATAAATGCAGGTACTTACGTCTCTCTTATATCCATTCTATTTTTACTTGTGTCACATGGCTAGTAAAAACGAATATGAAATTACTCTAAGGGAGAATGAAATAGATGTTCTTTTACGTGCTAAACTACTTGCAAAAGAATTTGCTCCACACAATTCTTTGTCAGTTTTTAATTAAGCAACAGCCAAGTAGTCATATGATCGATGTACTGAATGAAGAATTATCATTCTTTACACGAGAACGTCCAACAAATGCAATTGTTGCAGCGATCATAGCCAGGAATCTATTTTAATATCGTGAAAAACATCTATATGATGCTTCTAGTCCTGTATCGCATTTTCCAACGTCAGACTTATTAAAAGAAATGTTTGATCAATTTGTTCATCATGATTTCGATAGAGCATTACAACTGAATATAATTCTATTTATGAAAGCTGGTACAACGCTATATAAACACTCAATAAAAAGTTTAAGTGCTCAACTAGATACATACGTATGCGATCATGTAAGAGGTACAAAAGGATCTCAATATGTATTCATACAAACATGTAATTGAGCAACACGCCATATCCATGTTTAAAAAATGAATGAAAAAGAAATGAGAATTTTTGACCCAGCAACTTGGATATGAAAAAAGAAAAATGTTGGCTTATCATGCCCACTTAAAAATTATAAAGACGAACCAATTATCAACATTCTTGACAATCTGACATAAGCAAAATAATATAGACGAAGATCAGTTTTATTTTTCACATAAATCATATTCGAAACTTTTAATCAATTAATAATAAATGAGAATAAATGTTAGAATACTGACAGAAGAGGGTGTGGATGTGAGTGTGGGTGTTGGTTTATAGTATCCTAATTCTCATCCACACCCACATCCTACACGTCTTTTTTCTCTTACTTTCTGTCATAAAAATCCTTCTCAGTTGTTTTTCTTTCTCTCTGCTACTATACACCGATCTTATGACATTTACTCCTTTTCTCTTGATGTATTATCATAAGTCTTTTATGTAGCCATTTTGAGCCAAACAAAATTAAATGGATTGAAGAACTACTTTTCAATTAAAAACTAATTCTGTCCTCAAAGAGTTAAATGAATGATAAAAATGACGTTACTCAAATCGTTGGGAAACTTCTTAATAAATACTTCAATTTATTATAGGAAACTTTAGTAAAGACAAATTTCTGCCCTCCAATCCATCAGTTAAAAAATGAATTCTCTTACAGATAGAGTCTTTTTTTCATATTCTCTCTTAGCCTATTCATTAAAGGTCGTCAGGATGAACTCAATCATCTTTCGAGTGTGAGACATACATTGTCGCTTAGCAACAATTTGTTAGATTCCTAAGTGTTTGTGTGAACGTGTGATGTGAATGAATACATGAAATTCTTCATGTTACTGTCAGACAAAAGAATAAGCTGAACCAAAATGTTGCTGATAAATAAAAGTCAAAATTGTTCAGATTTCATCAAAGCCTATGGTAACATAAATTGATGTGGCTTATGTTAACGAAGTAGTAAAATCAATAAAGTACAAAAACAAAGGAAATGAATGAATAAGGACCACTAGTAAATTCTGCTTTACTATTTGTCTAGTCTGCAAAAAAGGTCTATCTATTATTAAGAACTATTCTATTAACATATTTGATGTGCATGCGGAGCATTGATAATTATTTCACTTCAATTCCATCGTTTGAAAATCCTGAAAAAGATTTCGTATGTATCTGATAAAAGCATTTTTTTAAAGTTATGCATCAATAAATTTGACCTTGAGAAAAAAATTACTAGAAGAGATGTAAGTGAACGAATACGTGTGACGATCACTTTAAGTGGAAAAACTTTAATTTTATCAAATCTGATTTTGACCAAAAAGCAACAAGTTTATTTTACCTGTTCATTTGCATTTATGGGTGTGGATGTGTGAGCGTGAGTGTTGAAAAGTCTTCAGTAACAACCATACTCAGAGCCATATCCACCCATGCCCCAACTTGAGAAAATGAATTTATATGAAAAAACGAAAAAGAGAATATGAAGTAATATTAACCGATATTAATTTATTCAAGTTCAATAACAATATAATTTTTTTTTCATTTTTCACATAAATTCATTTTCCACAAGTTACTTTAGTTGATACTTACTTCATTTGTTGGTAGTCATATAAAACTTGAATTTTCATTTTCATTTCTATATTGATATTTTTGGTTATGACTGGCATTTCAAAAGGAATTGATGTTTTTCGTGTATGTTTCCAATGGCACTGCAGATAACCTTATTTCACCAACGTTAACAGCTGAAAATGATCAACAATTCTACTTAATATGAGATATATATTGTTTTTTAGATTTGAATAAATTAAATTAATATTGATTATTACTACTGCATTTTCTCTTCCTTTTCATATAAATTCATTTTCACAAGTTTATTTGTATTATTTATCTTGATATAGGTTTTTAAATAGGCTTCAACTAAACACGAGTTAAAATTATGATACATCTGCTTTTCCTATTCGTGGAAATATTTTTCAGGAGAATTCTAGTATGGTTTAACAGAAAGAATCAAATTTTTAATTACAAAATTCATTTAGGCTCCATTTCTGTTCTTTTTGATAATCTTGGCGATATTTCTTTTTTGAATTAGAAAAATTACTTGAACGTCACGTAGAGTGTTGATATCAATATGTTTCAACATCCATCGGAGAAAATGCAGTATGAATTACAACACGTCATAGTATGCATA